ATCAATCCGGAGAGAGATCCAGAAATCTCCAATGGATTCAGGCTAATATCAGTCAACAATTTCTGTGTTTGTGACCTCGCTAATGACAACAACATAGAGAATGCATCCCTTACAGGCAACAACTTCGGGGTCAGTTTTCTCCTCTCCTTATTGTTTTGCCTTTGTAATTTCTTTCCTTTTTTTTTTTAAAAAAAAATATATATTTTATTGATTTTTTTTACAGAGAGGAAGGGAGAGGGATAGAGAGTTAGAAACATCGATGAGAGAGAAACATCGATCAGCTGCCTCCTGCACACTCCCTACTGGGGATGTGCCCGCAACCAAGGTACAGGCCCTTGACCGGACTCGAACTTGGGACCCTTTAGTCCGCAGGCTGACGCTCTATCCACTGAGTCAAACCGGTTAGGGCACCTTTGTAATTTCTAAAATTAAAAATATCTAGAGGGCCCAGCTGGTGTTGCTCAGTGGTTGAGTGTTGCCATGAACCAAGAGGTCACCGGTTCAATTCCCAGTCAGAACATATGCCTGGGTTGTGGGCTCGATTCCCAGTAGGTGGCATGCAGGAGGCAGCCAATTGATGCTGTTTCTCTCTCATCAATGTTTCTAACTCTATCCCTATCCCTTCCTTTCTCTCTAAAAATCAATAAAAACATTTAAAAAATATCTACAGAGAATTTATTCTCTGATTAAATAGGACATATGTATCCAAATATATTTATATTTGACATATTTTAGCATAATTTTTACTATAAACATGTATCCTGTATCTGAAATTCTGAATTGTCTTGAAGAGGCTTTTACAGCAAATAGATATTATTACAAATCATAAAGACTAAAAAACAAGGCTGCATTCCAGTGATCCTAGGCTTTTAATGTTAGACCCTTTGAACAGCAGATCCTAGAACAGTTTATCTTTGGTCCATAAGATGCTGGACCAACCAATAGAAAATATATCTTATGACAGAAAAATTAGAAATTTGAAGCAGCCTCACTTTAAAAAATAAACCATAATATGATTTAATATATACCAAATGCTAGAATTCTAGATCAAATATATCTCTAAACTTTCTACGGGTATATTTTATAACTGAAAATGTTTGAAGCTGTGATATGATTTTCTTTGGAGTTGGTGGAAATCCCACTCAGGAACTTAATAATAGTACTGATGCCTCTGTACACCACAAGGTGACTGTGGGAGGTAGAGATGTTTACTGGAACCACTTCTAATATTAATAACACCATCATCTTACCTGTCTCCAGATTGTAGGTTCCCTAAGTGAGCTGGAGGCCTTAATGGAAAGAATGAAAAGGCTTCAAGAAGAAAGGGAAGATGGAGACACATCTCAGGAAGAAATGACCACTCGTTTTGAGAAGGAGACAAAAGAAAGTCTTTTCGTTGTCTCTGGAGATACTTTTCATTCATTTCCTCATTCAGGTGCCTTTTTTTCACTATCTTTTAGTTGTTCTTGGAACCCTGACAGACCACCTTCAGTGTTTTCCATGTGGATTTGTAAAAATGATTGTGCTACCACGTTCCTTTTATTTCTTTCTCGTCCTCTGCGTTAATAGATGGTATACCTGACACTATTGCTTCCTCTATTATGTTGGTTCATCTCTGAATATATTTCAGATCCAGTTGGGAGGAACGCCCAACTTTGTACTTCATACTCTATCCTGGATAAAATGTAATTCAAAGCAGACCAGTAGCTTATAAAATTAGATAGAAATATTTAATTCATCCTATTTTTGTGAATTTTTTTTCATGATCAGTGAAATCCTGTTTCAATAGATAGAATTTTTTAAAAATATCTCTGCCTTTTTTGTGGGTGGAGAGTGTGTAGGAGGACTATTCTCACACTGCTGCTTTTCCAGGTTAGTTTAAAATTACATTGTACTTGCATTTGCATTTCTTTGGAGAAATCTTTGGAGTTTATAAAAACATATTATTTGGGTTATTTTCTTAGGTTGAATTTGGAGGAATTTATTCCATACTTAAAGCTAGGCTTCTTTGCTGTAGTCTTAAACATACGTTTTTATCTAATACTCTAAGAGACTTTGAAAAAGGAGGGAAACTTTTTAATTATGACTAAAAAAGATATTAAACACCATGTAGTAAGTGTTATTAAAATAGCATAGACTCAGTAGAAAGCTTAAATCCTTCAAAGTCATCCATCTACATAACATTTATTTTTAAATAGAGTTCCATTTTGGTTTAAAAGGGGGCTTCAAAATGACTAGTCTTAAGACTAGTCAGTCTCATAAGTTCTGAGAGTAATTGATTTGGCCATACTTATTTGTTAACTTTAAACATAGCATCAACCAGTAGCTCTCGGAAATTTTACCAGGAAAAATAAGAATTCCTTTTATCATTCCTCATGATGATCTTTTTTTTAAAATGAAGATTTTATCCTCAAAATTGAGTATATTAAGTACTAGTTTCTCAGAGCTTCTAATCAATATTAAATCCCCCCCAAAAAGGAAACTTGGTGTTTTAGTTATTTGTTTAATATTCGCTCTACAAACATTTACTGAGTCCCCCATATGCTCTCAGCACTGTGGCAGATAGATTTTCAGCCTACATGAGGCATGGTTCCTGCTTCCAGGGAGCTGTCATTGCTGGTGGGAAAGGGAAGTAGAGTGGAATGCGGAAGGTTTGTGAGCTCAGAAGAGGACCCTGAACCCAGCCTTAGTAGGGGGGGGAGTGTGGACAGAAGGGGTGCCCAGAGGATGACTTTCTCCAACCATTTGGCTCTAAGCTGAGTCTTAGATCTTGAGTGCAGGGATGTCAGGCAGTGGCTGGGGGACAGGGGAGTTGGTGTAAACAGCATCCACGCCTGAGCCAAGGCACGATGGTAAGGAAATAGGATGCTTGCTTCAGGAACAAATGGCCGTGTTGTTAGGACATAAATCATGAGATAGGTAATGTGACAAGGAGCTGGGTAGGTGGACAGGGTCTTATCATGGTGATTGATCTTTCTAACCTTAAGGAACAGATAAGCTGCCTTAGTTTGGACATTTGGAGTTCCTATGTGTATACAACATCCAGTCCAGGGATGTCTGCCCAGTGCTTCTCAAGCTTTGCTGTGCATGTGAGTCACTGGGGAATCTGGCTGGAGCGCAGTCAGTCTGGGCTAGGACGGGATAGGCCACACTTTCTGTCACAGCTCCAAGTGGGACTAATGCTAGTCTGCAAACACACTTGGAGTAGTAGTGTGACGATCAGGAGAGGGCTTTTAGCTCAAGATAAAGTTTTGGAAATTTTCAGCATATAATTAGGGGTTAAAATCAAAATAATTATAAAAATCATCCAGGTAGAACAAATGGGACAACGAACAATAATGAGCCTAGGGCCCTGGCTGGGTGGCTCAGCTGGTTGGAGCGTAGTCTCATACACCAAAAGGTGGCGAGTCAACCCATCGGTGTCTCTCTCTCCCTCTTTCTCCTCCTCCTTCTCCCTACCCCCATCCTTCCTTCCTCCCTTTCAAATCAATAAAAAAAATAATTATTATAATAGTAATAATGAGCCTAGAGTTAACCTTCTAAGTAAGCCAATATTTTTAAATGTAAACATTTTTATTAAAGTTACTAATATCTATTTGCTTTTAGACATTACTTTCTAAGAGCTTCTCTAAGATCACTAGAGTTTAAAAGATAGGTTTTTGTTTTTATTTTTTACTACTGAAAATCTTTCCTGGATCCCAGTTTCTATCTTCCTGGACACTTGAGCAGGACTACTGCCTTCTAAAATGAATTTTTGACTAGCAAGTCTTAGACCCTAGCCAAAAAATTGTGTTCTAATTTTAACAGAAGAGGCTGTATCATTTGTAAATCATTCAAGGAAATAAATCATTTCATTATTTACTCTTAAACAGTCCTAGTACTAAATGTGCTGGTCACACAAAGATAAGTTAGAAAAATAACTTCATACACTGGCTAATTGAGTCATTTTTATAAAGTTAGCAAAGTTTTAAAATAGAAATTTATTTTTTCCTATGCAAAATTTCTTGGTTTAAAAAAAAGTAAAAAGTAAAAAATTTCTTGGTTTAACCAGTGTGATAAAGCATTCCAGATTCTATGGGGAGATTCTAACAATAGATTTCAAATCTTTTGAAGGAAATAAATATTTAAAGTGTTATATGGGGGTGATATTCTGTAGCTTGGTAACAGTTAACTAGCTTTTATTGGGTGTTTTTTTTTTCAAGTTAGAAAGGTGTTTCGTTATTATAGCATAACGTTTTCTGTATTTTATTAATAGTTCTTAGGGGCAGAAGAGTGCAGACAAAGTTCAAAATACTATTTGTTTTCAGTTCAGACTTTGAAATACTTATTTAGGTAGGATTAAAGTGAGAGCTTTAGATTTGTTAATCACAGTACTAATTTTAATTTTTTTAAACTTTAACATCTTAAGATAAATTTAGGAAAAAGATATATGTGGTTTGAGAGATCTTTGTATATTTTTTTTCCTGTAGATAAAACTGTCTAGAAAACAGGTCTCAATTGACTCCTAATATAAAAATAAATGAATGGATAGTATTCATATGATACATTTTTATGTTATTTGGTTAGTTACTCTTCATTGTTTAAAGATGTTTAAAAGTCATATGACAGTCCAAATATGTATATGAGCAAGACAAAAACTAACGTTAAAGTCAAAAGAACCAGCTAAGTAATAGTCAACTCCAGTATTGATTTTTGTCAACTGAAACCACCAGGCTGTACAGTGTGAGGGGAAAATCACTTCAAGAGAGAAACTGTTTTACAGACTTTAGTTATCACTTACTGTGCTTGGTTTAATTTTACTTTGCACTCCACAAAACTAACTTTCATTGTGGCCTCAGCAATTGCATTTTTTTTTTGCTTTATTTTATTGATTATTATGGGATGGACAAGCTTAACCTCATTGGTAAATGTTAAGAGATAATGCATTGAAAACGCCATTTATAAAGCATTTCTATTTACCTGGAATAGAGAACTGGAGCATGAGGAGGAGGCAGCAGAGTGGTTGAGGAGTGGTCCAGGGGAGCCTGAGATTTCTCTTTAGAGCTGAAAGTCACTTTGAAGCTTTAGACCAATTTCAGTGATTTAATGTTTACAAGTTATCCATGTCATCTTAAACTAACCTACATTGTATATCTTTCTGACACTCAGTACCAACAATAGTATTCCTAACTTACACTTGGTTTACTTATGTCTTAAGTAGATATTTCTTTTACTATTAATGAAACAAAGAAAAAATAAATAACAGGTACATAGCATAGTATCTGCTATAGAGTAAGTACTCAACAATGCCAGTCTTCATTGGTGTAATTAAGGAGTTAGGTAAGAATTTCAGTAAAATATTTCCTAGGTTGGGTAGTCTGGGCACTTGATCTTTCTTGCCTTATTATCAAGCACTCTAATTAGTCCCTGCTAATGACCCAAGGAAGGTCAAAACTTGTTGGAAAAGAATACTTATTGTGAGGCTTTTCATGAAATAACAAAGATTAAATAAAGATAATGAAGGTACTACTAGTTTACCAGGTCTTCAGATGAATTACTATAATTGCACTTATTTTTTAAGCCTATCAACACTGTCCATTAGTTTTTATTATGCCATAAAATTGTTTTAACTATTTAATATATATTTATTTATTAAATATTTAATGTATTTAATATTAATTAAAATACTAAGAAAATATTGTTCTTTGTGTGGAAGGAGCTAGTTTTTTCATTTATTTTTTAAAATATATGTTTATTTTTTATAACAGAAGGTAGTAAATAAAGGTTGTTCATTTCCTTTTAGTGGTTGAAATCAGGGAAAAATGATTATAAAGATTAACCTAAAAAAGTTAGTTAAAAGATAATTATCTTTAAATTAAATTAACATGCATTGGGTTTTTACAATTTCTCAGTGGTGAATTTTTAATATTATCAAGAATGCAGAAATTATTGTAGTCTTCCTATCTTCCTTAATGCCACTTTGATAGTATTCCATTCACAGTCTCATTAGCATATTGTTTACTCCATATGTTGTATACCTTTTCTTTTCATGTGCACAGAAAAGCACAATATCTTAGGTGTAGAACTCAATGAATTTTCCCAAACAGAACCCTCCTGTTTAACTGACAGCAGATCAACTAAGAATAATAGTGACTCCTGAAAGTCCACTTTCCTCGCTGTTCCCAGTCCTTCTCTTTATTATGCCTCTTGGTAAACTAAAAATGAACTCATTTTCCCTGTGAATCCAGATGAAACACCATCTATCTAATTTTAATAAAATCTCTCTTAACATTCCGCTCACTTAAAGTGCTCTTTACCTTCACCTCTTCTCTTTCCCCACATCCCACTTCATCCCCAGAAAGAACAAAAGTTTAAGCATTTTAACCAGAGGCCTGGCTATCTTCCTTGTCTAAATGTACTACTACTATTTAGGTATTTTAATTTCATCAATTTTTTGACTGAGTAATAACTATAGTTAAATGCTAAGATGGCCAAGATTTGGTAATGAAATTGTATTCGAAACTTCAGTAGTAGATATTTTATTTGAATTTAAGCCAGGTAGTCAGTATTGTCACTTTGGAAATCCATGGAGAAGCTAAAACGTGGAGGAAAATGGAGGGGTTTCATTGTTCTAACTAAGTGGTTTCCCTAACACTAGATTGTTATTGTTCTTAGATTTTGAGGATGACATGATTATAACATGTGATGTCTCCCGATATATTGAAGACCCCGGTTTTGGGTATGAAGACTTTGCTAGACGAGGAGAAGAGCATTTGCCAACATTCCGAGCTCAGGTATGAGATATCTGTATTTCAGATAAAATAGAGAATAAATACTGTTATTTTTAACTGTGACATGTTGAAATGTAAATAATTTGACTTCTAAAGAAATTAACAGGTCATTTTGATAGAGTCTGTAAATCATTTTATTTAATCTTGTCTTCTGCCTAGTTTAATTTGATGTCTTAATAGGTAGATTATTATTTCAACACAAGAGGCCCGGTGCATGAAATTCATGAATGGGGGGGTCCCTCAGCCCGGCCTGTAATGACGCCAGCGTCCCTCGCCCCGGCCTCTGGCCGGAGGCCCCTCCTTTCCCTCTGCGCGGCCAGGGCGTGGACGCTGGGCTTGCATTGCCGGGGCGACATGGCCAGCGTCCCACCCTGGCCACTATGAGTGTCGCCATCTTTGTTGTGGCATGATAGTTAATTTACATATTACTCTTTTATTACATAGGATTTTCCCAGCTAAGAAGGCAAAAGGGAAAGGTTTTCTTCAATTACTGCATTATTACATTGTAGTTGTATAATATTCATGCCATTTTGGGGGGAGGGGCATAGCAGAGAAGAAACCCAGTGATGTATTATATCACATTTATAATAAAAAGACATTTTGTAATATGATCCTAAATCGGTAGCTAATGGCTTCAGAGTTATCCCCTCCCCACCCCTAGAAAAAACAGTCACAATAATGATGTGACTCCTAAAGTGGGTGCAAATTTGAATTAAGACAAACTCCATTGTGCCTATTTCAGATGATCTGCTAATTGTCCATGTCATTGAATAGGTTTGGTTACATAGGAATAGTCCAAGATCTTCTGGGGTTCTTTCAGATAAGGGCGTAGTTTGCATAGCATTTGACCACAGGAAGTAGCCAGTTTATCACCAACATGCTACACCCTGAACCCCACTGAGGAAATAGCATGGCACTCCAATCTACAAACTGATGTGAAGGCTTTTTAGCAAAGCTACAAACTTAGAAATAAATTTGAATATCTTCATTTACTTGCTGAAGTAGTTATAGTTAATAAAAACCTACAGCAGTGATTCCCAAAGTGGGCGCTACCGCCCCCTGGTGGGCGCTGCAGCGATCCAGGGGGGCAGTGATGGCCACAGGCGCATTTGGGGGCATATATCTTTCTGTTTAATTGCTATTAAAATTTTTAAAAAATTAATTTCCAGGGGGCGCTGAGTAATATTTTTTCTGGAAAGGGGGCGGTAGGCCAAATAAGTTTGGGAACCACTGACCTAGAGTTTACTTAGATGAAGAATGCCCATTTTGTAAGTGTATACATTTTACTCTTTTAGGACTATACCTGGGAAAACCATGGGTTCTCCCTGGTGAACAGACTTTATTCTGACATTGGACATCTTCTTGATGAAAAGTTTCGCATGGTCTACAGTCTCACCTATAACACTATGGCCACCCATGAAGATGTCGACACAACCATGCTGCGCAGAGCTTTATTTAACTATGTCCACTGTATGTTTGGAATCAGGTATGCTCGTTGTGGAGACGGGTTTACACATTTCTAAAAGAAAATTCTGACACTAGCCTTACTCCTGTCCTGTTTAGGAGTATGTATTTTGCGGAGAAAATGTTACATGTGGACTTCTGATTTTGGAAAATTAATTCCATTTTATAGAAAAGCATTTTTCTATGGTTAACTGTTGTGAATATTAATATGCATATGTAATACAGTAGTAACAATTTACTAACGAGGGAAGAAAATACCAGGAATCATTGGAGATAGGATAAAATCAGACTCAGTTTGAGAATCCTTCCTGGAAGAAATAGCAGTTAAAACCATATATTGTATTCCTTTAGATCACTTTAATAAATGCTGGTTGGTTGGTTAGTTAGTTAGTTAGCTTGAATGAATGATAATTAGGTTATAAGTAAAACTAGAATAGATTCTTCTCTCATAAAGCTTGCATAAGTTCACATAAAAACACTGAAAGAAAACTGTCAGTCAATGTAAATTAATAGCCTCTAAATTTTTTAAAGATTAGCATTGAGAGGACAGTGAATAAATGAGATTGAATAGTCTAATCATGGTGTAATCAGGAAAGCTTTTTTTTTTTTTAATGTGCCCCTTTGAGCTGTTTTTTGAGCCTTTATGGAGATAGATCTGTAGAAAAAGAAATCCCCAGATGTGGATGCATTCAGTTTGACTCTGTACTATGTTTTTTCAGATATAGTATCAGAAAGTCTCTGTGAAGTGGAATTAGAGTTTAAGTGAAGTAGTTTCTATAATTTTAATGTAAAAAAAATTTTTTCTGAAAAATCAACATTCTACCTAGAAGACACTATTATGATGATAAATAGTAATTGCTATTTACCCACTTACCATCCTAGACAATAAGTTATCACAGAATCATTACATTTTAAAACAGATATTATACCTACCTAATTAAGAAAAATAAACAGCAACAGAATTTAATTCAGTTGTGATAAATGTTTATTCGTGACAATAAATAACAAATGTTATGGTGACTTTATCTGTGAGATGCTACTAAATAAAGCTTATATAAAATTCTTGAGATACTATTTTTTAAGCATTGTGTTTGGGTTAAATATTAACTGAAAATATAGACCAGAAATTCTACAAACCCCACTGCATTTACCCTCCTGTCTGCTTCTGTGCCTACTTCTTCTGGCTCCTCTTATTGTGGATGAACTATCTATGCTCCTATGCCCTTGGGCACAAAGTCCCATCTCCTCTCTTCTTCTAAAGATCTTTATTCTAGCAATCTCCCCTCTCCTGCGTGATCACCTTTACTCTCGCTATTGGGTCTTTCCCATCTGTATATAAACATGCATTTCTCTCATCTGTAAACAGATTCTTTTTTAAAATATGATTTTATTGATTTTTAGAGAGAAATGAAGGGAGAGGGATAGAGATAGAAACTTGGATGAGAGAGGAACAGCATTGATCTGCTGCCTTCTGCACACCCCCTACCGAGGATCAAGCTTGCAAACTAGGCATGTGCTCTGATGGGGAATTGAACCAGAAACTTCTTGGTTCCTGGGTCTACGCTCAACCACTGAACCACATTGGCTGGGCTGAACAGATTCTTTTTCTTCATCATGCTTTTCCCTCTGACTATTGCCTCATTTTTCTGCTCCTGTGCACAGCAAATCTCTTTGGTAGTATATTTACTATCACCATTTTCTTAACTCTCATTCTCTCTTGAAACCACTCTCTAATTGAGGTTGCCAGTGACCTCTGTACATGCTACTTTGGTGGTCAGTTTCCAGTTATTATCTTATTTGAGTCGTTACTCCTTCTTCCTTGAAACACTTGACTCCTACTTAGGGCTTTATACTTGCTCCTGGTCTTTGCTCAGATGTTGACCTCTCAGAGAGGCCTTCCTATCTAAAACCACAGTTCCTCTCCTAGCCCCCAGTTTCACTTTATCTCCATAGCAGTTCTCACCGTCTGACATACTATGTTTATCTTTTTAATTTTTTTTTTTGCTCCAATAGAATTTAAATTCTACAAGACTGTGGGTTTTTGTCTATTTTGTTCATTTGCGTATCACCAGTGCCTAGAAGAGTACATGGAAAGCACATGGCACATAATGGGCACTCAATAAATATTTTTAGATGAATTTAATTAATGAGCTTTTGGTATTTAAATTACTGGACAATAAATGTCTCTATTACAGCTTTAGAAATCAGAAATTGTGATTTTGTCATTATAAAGCTGTTGTCATTACTCATAGGTATGATGACTATGATTACGGAGAAGTTAATCAATTACTTGAACGAAGCCTGAAGGTTTACATTAAGACAGTGACCTGCTATCCTGAGAGAACTACCAAGCGCATGTATGATAGTTACTGGCGTCAGTTCAAACACTCAGAAAAGGTGTGTTTCATGACTAAACATTATACCATAGATAGATGTTCAATATAAGAAGTAATGATTATGAAAATATTAATAAATTAGTGCCATTATAGAAATGGAAGTGGCATAATCTAGCCAACATTTTTTAAAATATATTTTTAGCCTTAGTCTGTTTGCTCAGTGGATAGCGCGATGGCCTGCAGACTGAAGAGTCCCAGGTTCGATTCCAGTCAAGGGCACATATCCAGGTTGGGAGCTTGATCCCTGAGGAAGGGAGAGGGAGAGAGAGAAAAAAACATCAATGATGAGAGAGAATCATTGATTGGCTGCCCCCTGCACGCCCTCTACTGGGGATCCAGCCCGCAACCTGGGCATGTGCCCTGACCGGAAATCAAGCTGGTGACCTCTTGGTGGATAGGATTGTACTCAATCCACTAAGTGACACCAGCCGGGCACAAGAGCCATTTTTTATAAACAGTTTTCTTGTGAGTTTCACATCATGTGCATGTATAGCAATGCCCAGGCCTGTATGTTTGTATATGAGTCTTTATACACAAGAAAACCTTTGTGAATGCCTGCTCTATGAAAAAAGTTTAAAGTTTATCAGTTGTTTATAATTGTCATTGAATTGATAACATTTTCATTTCCAGGTTCACGTCAATTTACTGTTAATGGAAGCACGGATGCAAGCTGAACTTCTGTATGCTCTTCGTGCCATAACTCGGCATTTGACCTGAAGCCTCACCCAGGGAAAATGTCAGATGTGTGTAAAGACCTTTTCACATAAGATATATACATCAGAAGCTGTTTGTGATGTAGCATCAAAAGTTATTCAATTCTCTGTGTCAAAGTTTAGCCGTTTTTGGGGGCGGCTGTAATGTGCAATGATGTGTTTTCTTTTTCTTGATGCTTAACATTACTAACAATTGCGAAAATAATACTGAGGAGCACTACTTTGCATTGTTTATAGTTGGAGTTTTGGAAACTGATCATAAATCATGAACCTGGTTTGTTAATGCTTAACTTCAGCGCTTTGGGGTTTGTGTGTATGTGTATTTCTCTCCCCACCTTTTTTTGTTGTCGTTAAATAAGGAAAAGCGCTTACAATCTGCTCAAGCAATTGTTTATTCAGATATTGGAATTCAGCAAAGAATAACCTCCTCTGGCCACTCCACTTTTCATGGTGTGTCCTAAATCTGGCGGAGGAAAAGCATGCGCCGTTGAACTAAGCTGCTCACAGGACACAGCCCCGTGTCCCCAGGAGATTATTGTCAGGCACTGTTTGGTTTTTTTGTTTGTTTTTGTTTTTTTACTGCTATTGGCGATAACGTGAAATGTGATACAGCCATTGTCCATAATTTAATGTGAAATTAATCATGATGAATTCTATAGCATGCTACTGAAATGCCAAATTCAGCTATTTCCTTTCTCTTCTGAAACAGAAGTTTCAGTTTTCCATATCAGATGTGTATATTAAAGGTGGAATTATACACAATCCTTCCTATCACTGACAGTAATCCTCCGTCATCTTCAGTTATCAGTGCTCACAGTGCTGCTTATAGTTCATTTAGTTGGCACATGTAATCTTGTACCCACACTAGGCTGACCAAAAATTTTGTTTGCACATTTTTCTTTTCTCATAGTGTTTGCTATATTGCAGTACACAGAAGAAGGTTACTATACCTATATTTTTTTCCTGTTAGGTTTTTAGAACTTATTTTCCATGATTTTTCTTATAATAGGTTAAACGGTTTATTATTCAAAGGTAAAAATTGTGTTTCTATGCATTAATGTGAATGAACAACAACAACAACAGAAAGAGTGCAATATGTTAAAGAAACATACTAAACTTCCCCCCTGTTATGTCACTGCAGAAGTGTCCTTTAAGACAGAGCCATAAAGAAATTTGGTTCAGATTTCTTTATTGCACAAGGCTTTCCCCTTACTGGGGTTGACAGTGTTCCTTTCATAAAGCCAAAGCACCCCCTTCCCCAGAAAAATCTCTTTGGACGACGAGTTTAAAAATAATGAACAAGTCTTGGAGGAATATAAGCATCCAAAAAGTCACATTATTGCATTGGTTTATGTTGCTTGATTAGACTATCTTCACAGAGCACAACATTATGTGTTTATAGCTTTAATTTGTGTTACGTTAATGAACCAGCGAAGTGCCTAAAGAGATGCTTACAGCCATCCGGTGGGACACAACTGCACGGCTTAAACACTTTGTGGTTAATTAATGGTGACTTGAATTGTACACCAACATGCTAATTTTTAAAAGCAGATCAATTTTTTCCTAGTAAATAATAGTAAATAGTTAAAATTTTTGTTAGATTTCCCACAAAGATTTCATTTTAGACTTATTTGTTATATAGGACTTACTTTTTTCCCCCTCTCATGAAAGAATAGTGGGCTAGTGTTTTGTTTAATAATCCCCCCCCTTCCATTTATCATCCTTTTCTGGTACAATGCAGTAGGTTGCTTTCTTTTAGATTTTGTTCCAGATGAGAAAATAGAAAGATGACTGTGAGCCCAGTAACATAAGGCAGTTCTGCATTTTTGGATTCCAGGATCTTCTTTGAAAACTTCCATGTGAGGAAAAAATAACGAATTTTTTAAAGACGAGGGTGGTTTATTTAAAGAGATTACTCAAAGAACTTGTGCCAGGTTTCTTCTGTTTTGTTTATTGATATACCATATATTGGCTTTATTCAATATCACATTATATAGATATGTATTTTAAAAGTATATAGGAGAATGGCAAAGCCTAGACGACAACATTAATGTCCATTTAACTTTCCAAACTTTAGAAAACTTTCAAGTTGAGGATCTCTTTTATTCTTGACATTTGTTTTTTTAATAGGAGTCCTTCAGTTAATAAATAGCCCTATGTTTGTGCAGGGGACCTCTATTACAGGAGGAAGATGATTGTTATATATTGAAAAGGAAGAGAAATTCTCAGAGAACACCATATGAGCTTTAGACCAAAAGAGGAAACAAGGCTTAAGTAACTAAAATGGCCACTTCATTTTTGTTTTTTGCTTTTTTCCCCTCAGAAATGTAAGTAGTTGGAGTTTGGGTTACGGAAATTTAGTGCCTTTCCTAGATCTCTTTCCTAGCAAGGTTTCTTTCCTCAGCATTGATCCATCTCGTCAGTAATCAGGAAAATAAGTTGGCTTGGAACTATAAACAGAAACAAAACCATCTATTTATGAACCTCAGTGAACCAGCCTAGAGAAGGTGACCTCTGGAGGTGCCTGATTAAGCACCTACTCAGATGCATGCGCAGCATTCCAGGTTGTGGATACCATTTTACAGCGAGCTTGCTGTGGACTTTATCTAATGCAGACTTGAAATTCCGATGCGGTTTTCCAGGGTGGTATTTTTTCAGAGTATTGAATTTACTATGTAGTAATTTATAGTATAGCTTTTTATATTAAAATGTGATATTTTTAAAAGAGCTATCTGGTTCAATTGGTGAAGTGATGTGGTTATACGAGACTCTAACCTATCCCATGGGCTCACATCGTGCCAAACTTTAAATGTACAAGTGTACGTGGAAAAAAAAGCACATGCGAATGTGAATTCTCTACCTTCGTAGCTTATTATGTTAAAGTTAGTTTAGTCACCCACTGATGTAAACGCTTGATCAATGTCGATTTACTTTGAATTTCAAGTTTTCCAGCTTCCGTTGCAATTCTTCCTTTCTCAGATCCCCTTAAGAAATATCTAAATACTCTGCCATCTGAAAGTGAATCTGTCCTTTAGCCCGATCCCTTGACCACAGCAGTGGCCTCATGGGATTCTTGAGATTAGGCCTTCTCGGCCAGACTCATAATATGTAGAGGAAAAGAGGCTTTTACCTTCCTCACCTTTTTGAACTAAGTATATTGTCTTAGTCTGGGAAGGATCTTTGTCTCATTTGGGGTACTTTTAAAATAAAAGATGGCCAGTGTGGAATCTGGGGCATGGCCTTGGCCTTTAATCATGGCTTCAAACCCAAATAATAGCCAAGCTTCACAGGGCTGTTTTAGAACAGAAAACTCAATGTAAGCTTTATATCAAAATTCTATTTGAACCAGAACCCCTATTTTAATTGTGTTACAGTCTCCTAAAATTTTTCAGTGCTTCTAAAAGCTAACTAACATTATTTCAGAACTGTTTTTCCTTTTCCACCTTACAGAGTTTTTTTTAATCCAAAAACTTAGATTTTTATGCCACAGCAAAACAAAATTAATCAACAAACAAAGATCTGTGCTTAAAAATAGTTCTCCACTGTAGTACAGAGTGCATGCATATATGACGGTAACATTCTTTTAAACTCTAAGGAAATTCATCAGGGAGAAATAAATAAGTTTCAGTGCATATTATAAAAATGATCTGCACTGTACTAGTAGAAAGAGGTTTTTGTGTTGTTTTATGTTGTGTTTAAAGACAATTCTGATTTATTCCTCCAGAAAGCAAGACCTTAAACTCTTTATCTAATAGGACTTTTTCTTTTTATGCAAATAGATGGTCTTACACAGAATAAACTTATGCAACCATAATGTTATATAAATAGTATATGAAATGTTCTTAGGATAATTGAACAGCAAATGGAAACACATATGGTTATACTGTTCAGATCAAGTTTTAAGTTAGCTAATCTGTACAATCAGAGCCTATTCTAGGTGGATGTCATCATAAACTGTGTTTCCCTATAATATCCCTCTGGAGACTGAGAATCAAAATAAGTAGTCTTTCCTCGAAGCAGTACTGTAACATGAATGTATTCATCTCAGTCAACAGAACTTACATGCCCCCTGTATGTGGAGCTTATTTTCATGCTAATGTGGCTTAGTTAGCAGTGTCTGCTCAGGTGAGACCTAGAACAAAAACAGCAGGGATGAAATGGATCATCAGAGGTAGAGGTATATGTCAAGGCAGAGCCTGGTGAGGAAGGAAAAGGTTTTCAAAGAACACATGGAACATAATTCCGAGACAGTGGCTGTCCTCAGCATCATACACTTATTATAAAGGACATTTCCCATCGTGGGAGCTCCTGCCTGCATTCCATCCACCCTTCCCGCCTGCTTTCTCTTCCTCCAAGTGCCTCAACCTCTACCCGCTCCCTCTCCTCCCCTTCCCTCAGCCCATCTTGATCTGAATGCCTTGTCACACTACAAACCAAACATCACCAGCCACCTGCTGATAGTCACCAGCATTTACTTTACGGAGTCATTTTTTTCTCCATTGTCCCAACTCCTTCTAAATTCCACAGCCATCCAGCTATATTTTGGCTAATCCTTGCCCCAGATGCCCTACCAGATATTACGCAGCACCAAGTGTAATCCTGTCCATCCCAGACTGTTCCACCTTTCCCAGCTGCCAAAATGTCTTGCTCTCCTCTACCTCATCCCCAAAGAGCCTGTAAATTCAGAGTATCCAACCTTTTCATGGATTCACTCTCTGTTGTTCAGTAATACTACTTCCATAGTTTAAATAAATCATAGCAGATTTTTGCCTTCTAACAAAGTAGGAATCTTTATATTTATACATGATACAGAAAGTGAACTATTTCTACCATGCAGAATTTAGCACTTAACAGGACTTTAAAGTGATTGAATTGCCATTCTACCCTGGATCTGTATTAGGTAGTTAATACTGGTATTAGTCCAAGTTATTTGAATGTGAAGTTAAAGTTCCCCAGGAGTCCAGACGGATCTGTACCCCTTCTGTGAAACGGGGTTTCTGGCATACAGATGGGCGGTGTTTCAGATCACTGGTTTTATTTGGTGGTACCTGAGCCTTGGAACACATGTCTGGCAAGAGGATATCTGATAAAAGATGGCTAGGTGGTCCTGTTGGATCCCGGAAGCCCACTTGATCATAATATGTTTAAAATGCCACAAACTAGGCTGCATGAGGGTTTGATGAAGCTTTCCTGGGTTAGACTAAGCTTCTCACCCCCATGCCGACCCTGTTGTTCTCTTGGGAGGGACGTCCTCTGGGATGGAGAGGGAATGCATTGCCTTTGTCATCTGTATTTTCTGGCTGCACTTCGGTACATCCAGACAGTATCTGTGAGGAGCAGGAAATGCAGAGGAGGAAGACGCAACAGTTCTTCCTCTCCCGCCAGTGTGTACTCGTGTCATCACAGAGGAAAACTTGTCAGGTTTCTAACATGGGGTGGGTTTGTCTATCGATGGTTGTCTGGCCTGGGGACGAACGAACCACCTGTTTGAAAGTATCGATTATTAAGATCAATGGTGGCATCTGGATGCTGTCCACTCCCATTCATGAGCAACCCAACCTGACAGCAGAGTCTAGTCAATGCCTTTAAGGGCCCAGGAATGAATCAATGCCTAGCTAAGGAATGAGACAGTAATGGAGACTTAAGGAATGGTTTTTATTAAATCGTATGTCATGAAGTATTTGTTCCAGCTTTAAATTCATCATGGCTGCACCACCATGAAGTATAGAATTGAAAAAAGGAGATGAGAAGTGGGGGGAAGGAAGACTATCTGATTCTTTGCAGTGCTTGTGGAAATTTCTGGGAAAATGAAATGCATACTATAAAATAGCCTTTAGAACAAACACCCCATTTTATAGCTCATAGGACAGTATCAAATATTAGTAAGCTTAAATGTGACAAATAAAACTCTTGGTATATAAATTTGCAAAAACAGTCTCTTCTCTTCCACCCCTCAATTTAACCTCTTAAAAGCGAATGTATGAATCCTGGTTAGCTAGATGTATCCATCATGACACCGAATGAAATGGATTGTACATCTCTTTCTTAATCAGTCTTCACAAATTTTCCAACTGGCTTCTAAGTCTGATATGGAAGGATCAAAATGTAGGCTAAAGGAAACATATCAATTTGTAATAGGGAGGCTGTTTTCTCCTGTCTGAATTTTACTGCTTCTCTAAAATAAAATGCAAGAGTTAAATGGTACCCTTGTTCCTCAAGGAACATTATCCAAACTCTATCTAATGCAGATATTTCCTTTGCATTGATATATCTTCCCTGGAAAGAAAATACAATTTTTCCCTCCCTCTTCCTCTTCACATTTACTCTTCTCAACCTAAGACAGGAGAGACAGAAAAGGCAAACCACAGCCAGTGTGGCATCTTTGTGCTACAAGAACAGTGACATCACAGGCACAGTCTGAGCAAGGTCAAAAAGGACCCTGTCAGGTCGACATGGAACATGGCCTTGCTACTTGGATTAGCTCCTTCAAACCTGAAAATACCTTTTCTGGTCATGGAAGAACTGGATGTATCCTTTAGCTTATGAAATAGGATTTGAACTTGAAATCTTTTTTTTAAAATCCTGATTTTGCAGGGCAGCTACAAGATGAATGTATATATTAAGACTTTGTAGCTGAATTGCACATGAAATCAGATTGCCAACTTCTTGACTTTCAAATTTAGACTTCATTTTATCCTTAAGTTGTGAGCGATATATGTAGCATGCTGTGAAATGTCTATTATAGTTCTTTAATTCATCAGTATTAATACAGAATTATCTTTTGCGTTCCTTGGTACTTTTTATTCAATGTAATCAGAAGCTGTGATGTTTTGCCTTTGTAGTCCTGTGCTTTGTTACTGTAATGTTTTTTTACGAAGCACGTGACTTTGGACTATTGTGAGGCAGATGATCTTAAGACTGCTATATATATATCAGTCTCTTACTATATAAGGTTTTCCATTAGAATAAGCTTTTATCAAATAGATCATTGATGAAATTTAGGATTTACACAATTTGCATTGTCAAATGACAGTCTTATATTTATAGTTTCAATTCCAAAAATAGCAAACTTGATAAACAGCCACTTTAAACGTGTTCTGGTGAACCAGACCCTGCTGTAGATGTAGTCTGAGGTAGTTACCCATATAAACCTTCTCCACTGTTATACCCTCCACATGAGTCAGCAGTTAAGGAGATTATAGAACCCATGAAAGCTTTTTGTATGTATAACTAGGTTTTATTTTTCTTATGTTGCTGATTTTACAACTCTGACTAAAGCTGACCTGAATGGATCAGTGTATGTGTAATATTCTAGTGCTTTAAATGCCTTTTTTTTTTTGGAGGGATGGGTAATATTATTTGAACAGATGCAGAAGGAACTGTTAGTGAGTCAAGACAAACACATTTGAAATAAAGGAACTGTGTATTAACATGTTAACAATTCATAACTGCACTTTTTATGACATTTTGAAAATCTATTTATAGGTACAGAACAATGGGTTTTGTTAAACTGTATCACATTTATACTTGCAAAAATTTATTTCATTGTTATTAGTAGGAATTTTATTGGTTCAATAAAATTGGCAAAACTGAACCCCGATTATTTGCTCTTTCTTATATATTTATATACATATTTATACTTACTCTGGAGTAGCATTCTTGCCCAGGTTTGTTTCTGCTTGAGTGTAGACACATGGATTCTAAAAGACATCAGAATCATAAGAGTCACTTTTCACCTTATTTCTTTCTGACCCACAATTTTCTCATGACATTTCTTACATTCACTCAATATTACATTAGTAGACTATTGCAATAGTATAAATTGGGCAAAATATATAGTTATTCTTACCTTTTAAAATATCAGTTGTGAACTCAGCAAGAGACAAATTAATTTCTGTATTATCTCGTTACTAAAATAATAAAGAAGTGATAGCATTTTATAAGAAATTGAGACATAAGAGAACTTTGTTTGCCCGAGCGCTGGCACCTGGAATGGGCTCGGGGAAGATTTGTGCTCCGGTCTTTGTGTTACCGCCTTTCACACTGAACTTCATTACCTCAGGTCAGCCCAAGTGGCTTGCTTAATGATCTAAATGACCATGCTGTCAGCGTGACATTTTACTGCCAGCCAGAAGTTAGATAACGTTCCTCTCTGGATAACATGCAACTTTTACAGCTTTAGACTATTCATTTTTCCCCTCCAGTCCCGAATGGGCCCTTTGACTTAGAACAGCGGTTCTCAACCTGTGGGTCGCGACCCCTTTGGGGGTCGAACGACCCTTTCACAGGGGTCGCCTAAGACCATTGGAAAACACATATATAATTACATATTTTTGGGATTAATCACTATGCTTTAATTCAAGTTGTAACAATGAAAATACATCCTGCATATCAGATATTTACAATTCATAACAATAGCAAAATTAGTTATGAAGTAGCAACGAAAATAATTTTATGGTTGGGGGTCACCACAACATGAGGAACTGTATTAAAGGGTCGTGGCATTAGGAAGGTTGAGAACCACTGATTTAGAAGAAGGTACCACAGGGGAAGGTGCACAGACCAATGTAGACAAGCGGTACCTGTCCATTTAAAGGTTGACCATTTCTCCCAACACAAAGCCTGATGCTAAGAAGACTCGGGAAAGCTTGCAACTACTGCGTGTTATTTTTAGGACATTCTGCTGTGTGGTGGAAGTTACAATTCCAAGTCATAGTTTCTTATGCATGTAACTTTCTGTGAGTTGAGAAGAAAGTCAGCCTCAGAGACTGTCTCTTCTCCCAGGATCACATACTTCACATTTCAAAATGCAGGTAAGCCCAAGCCTTTCCATAGAACTCTTTAAGAGGACAGTGAGGCAAGAATTCTTAATACTCCCTCCTATACTGGCCTGCTCCCAAAATAAACGTAAAGAAATCATCCATCTTTACATCAAGGTGAAATTCAGAGAAGCCTCCGGGTTGCAGTACTTTTCACCTTCGTTTTGCGGAAGTGGTGCATGCCTCTCATACCCCACTCTGCAGTCACCATGGCCCCTCTAACTCCCTCCCGTCCTGCTGCTGCGGCCACCAGGCCCATGCCGGCTGCGGCCAGGTGTTCACAGGTTCAGTGGGAAAGTACCTTCGGTGGCCCGGGGCTGCTGGAGTCTGGCAGGATGCCAGAGGGAACTGCCTCTGAGCTGAGTGTGCACAACCAGAAGTGCAGAGAGTTCATGGTTAACCCAGGAGCAGTGATGACTGGAGACAATGCGTGAATGCTCCCTCCTTTCATTTCTCCAGGCCACTATTTGGAGACTCTGAGGGCCTGGTGGAGTTGAGTACCAGGCCAGCTCTATTGGTCTTCCCTCCTTTCCTGTTTCAGCCCCCCTGTCCTGCAGTCCTGCCCCCTAGATCTCAAATCAGCCTTGGTCTTGGTCTTTGCTCCCCTGGGAGCCCAGGCCAAGATAAGGCAGTAGGGGGTTAGAAAGCAGATCCTGGAATGAATTCAAATCTAAGCACCACCATTGCTAACTACCTGACCTTGAGCAAGTCACTGGATATTGTGGTTCCTTTGTTTCCTCATCTGTAAAATGCAGGTAATAGTAATAAGAAAGAAGGCAGCCCTTGTCCTTAAGAAGGGGAAGTGTGGGTAAGAAGAGGGTAAGATAGGTGACATCTGCCAACATAGGAAAGAATAAGGTAATAGCTTGTAAAATGGGGTCATAAAATAGCCATTTATCAAGAACCTTCTCAATATTAGGAACTTTAAACACATTATTTTTATTATAATCATCCTTCAAGTGGCTATTATCCCGATTTTAGACAGTTAAAAGTATAGGCTTAGCAAAATTAAGCAACTGTCTAAGATCAAACAAGTTGATGGTTGAACTGTTCTCAGATTTGTGTGACTTTAATACTCTTTCCTCACTGCCAAGTAAATAGGGAAGTAGTGCACTGTATATGCTGTTATCAGTGGCAGCTTTTAAAACGGGTAATAAACAGGGACCTACAGAATAAGATTTGGATTTGCAGAGACTGACAAACAAGACATTTAGGCAGAGAGGACAGATGGAGAAAACCCCACTGTAATAGTGCGGATGTGTAGGACTTAACTTTAGGACGTGACTTTGGAAAGTGTTGTTTGGTCAGACTGTGCAGGGTCTGGAAGGTTAGGCTCAACCGCTTGTATTTATTCATTTGGAAAAGATGGAAGCCACTTTCAATGGGTTTTTTGCCACTGGGGTGAATGTGCCCCTTGCTAACCAGAGTCTGGCTAGAATTCCAGGGCAGGAATTCTACACACACCCTTGACGATGTACACCAGGCTCTGCTTGGTAAAGCAGACTAGTGACATACAAGGCCTTCCCTTCCCACTATGTGCACACAGACCCCCCGATGCCCAGGGCCAGAGGAGGGCCTTCAGAACATTGTGCTGTCTAACTACACTTTACCTAAACGAATGACAGTTAGGTGATGGATATGGTCAATTGTTTGCATAAGAGGCATCAATTACTGTCCTCCCTGCAGCCACACCCTTAGGACTGTAACTTAAACAACTTCCCTCATCCAAAGGTGAGTCTGTTTCTCCACTTTTTGAATATGGGTTTGTCCTGTGACCCGCATTGCAAACCTGCGCTTTAAGAGCCCTCACAAGCTTCCACTCTCTCTAGCATTCTGCCACACCGGGCTAGCCTGCTGCAGGACCAGCCAACTGGTTAACCTGAGTTGCCCCAGGTATTCTGGCCAAGGCCTCAGGGAAAGTCCACCCAAGATTGATCAATTCAGCAGACCTGCCACAGATGCTGACTCATAGGAGTGCCTCTCCAAGCCCAGATCAGAGCAGCAGAATCGCCCAGCCCACCCACAGTCTGCTGAGCAAAGCTCCCTGTTTATTGTGCACCACTGAGGTTTTATGGTTGTACGTTACACAGCGTTATTGTGGCAATAGATAACTGACATGATGTAAATGCTCCAGGTGGCTGGCACTTCATAAGAATCGGGATTGGGAAATGTCTTCCTTATATCACAATCTATTAAGGATAGCCTTGGAGGGGGAGGTAGAAGATAAATAGAAGGATAAATAGAAGGAGACTTGAATTGGGGTGATGAACACACAATACAACATACAGATGATGTAGTATAGAATTGTACACCTGAAACCTATACAATTTTATTAACCAACTAGAGGCCCGATGCATGAAATGCATGCAAGAGTAGGCCTTCCCAGCCACGGCTGCCTGAATCCCTCCCTCACAGCCGCAATGGCTGCCTTGATCCCACGGCTGCAGCCCCAGCTTTGTCCCAGAAGGATGTCCAGTCTAATTAGCATATTATGCTTTTATTATTATTATAGATGGAATCCCAATAAATTCAATAAAAGAAAAAATAAGGTGACCTTGGAAATAGTATCAGGGATTTTTATTTATATCTCTGAAATAGAGTCAAAGTAGTTGGTAAATTAATATTCAGCCCTTTGATCATCCTTCTTTGTCCCCTCTTTGTGGGGTAAAATATATAATATTCCTCTGAAGCTTGTTCTTAAGTCTTCATCCACAATATTTTAGACCCTAAGCATGACTGTACCCATAACTAGACTAGTGAGTTTAGGACCTAAACTATAGAGTATATAAGAATCATTGAGGATCATGTAAAAAATCCGGATTTATGGAACTACCCTCAGAGATTCTGATTCATTGAGTATGGAGCAGAGACCAGGAACTTCCATTGATAGCCTATATAATAAAGAGCTAGTATGCTAATTAAACCAGGCGGTGGAACAACCTTCCAGATGACCTTCGAAACGACCAGTGCATAGGGAGCGGGGACGAGGGGCTGTGAGACAGCCAGGGCTGCGAGGGCCTACCCTTGCACAAATTTCATGCATCGGGCCTCTAATATATATATATATATCTTGGGTACCTGGGAGCCACACAGAAGGTAATACTTTAAGGCTGTGAAGAGAGAGAAAAGAACAAGAAAAATAAACAAAACAAACCACAGGAAGACAGTGGACACAGAAAGTCACCATGGAGTCAGAAATGTAGGGGGCATGGAAAAGAAGTATTTTTCTCCTGATTTTCAATGAAAGTTCTTGCTATGGTTCTATTCCTATCTCAGGTGGCATTTAGACCCAATGAATAATTCTCAACCTGCACCTAGAATCCCCTGAGGACTTTAAAAATACTGATATCTGAGAACCAATGCCCCACCCTGAGGTTCTGATGGGATCAGTCTAAGGCAGTGGTCCGAAAACTCATTAGTCAACAGAGCCAAATATCAACAGTACAACGATTGAAATTTCTTTTGAGAATCAGATGTTTTAAACTTAAACTATATAGGTAGGTCCATTGCTATTAACTTAATTAGGGTACTCCTAAGCTGGCCTTTTGCTAAAAACGTCCTCAATCTGAGGGGTCGACCTTAGTGAACGTACCCCCACTTCTTCTAATGCCACTTCTTCAAAATAGACTCACCCAGGCCGAAAACCGACTTCTGTGCATGGGCCACGAAGTTTCAATCGCAATGTACATGTGTGCCCACACGTGGTATTTTGTGAAAGAGCCACACTCAAGGGCTCAAAGAGCCGCATGTGGCTTGCGAGCCGCGGTTTGCCAAC